ATAATAATAATAATAGAACATAATCAAATAAATAAACAAACTTATTTAATTGTTGTTGCTAATACATAAATAGTAGTCTGAAGTATTATATATATATAAAAAAAAAAAAATTTTTTTTAATTATTAAATCTTATGTAGCTGATAATAAATATTATTAATATTTAAATGTTAACAAATTATTATTATTATTATTATTATATACAAATAGTGATTTAAATAGGTGAAAAATTTATGATTTAAAAAAAAAAAAAAAAAAAACAACCATTCAGTGACTAGAAATCGTTTTTTTTTTTTTGGTTTATTATTATTATCATTATTATGATGCCTTAAAGTATTATATCTTATTGCAAATTTATCAGTAGACTAGTTTATTTAAAATAAATTAATAATTTACATATGTAATTGTTTTTATTATAGTAACATTTCATGTTTTTTTAATCATGTTATAAGGTTGAACATAAAAAAAAAAAAAAAAATAATATTTTACATTATTTTGTTTGGAATATTATTAAGAGTATTAATAATTTTTTTTTCTTTCTTTTTAATAAATTTATTATTATTATTATTAGTTTTGCAAGTTTTTTTTTTTTTGTTGAGATCAAAGCCATTTTGTTTCTTACATAAATTTTGGTTGTATTGCACTTTTAAAATAACTAAAAATGAATTTTTTTTTTTTTGGTTTTAGTATATTTCTCGTTCATTTTATTGATTTTATGTATATCATTACTAAAAATTCTACTACCAACACTCAATAATAATAAATAACTTAAAAACGTAAAAAATAAAAAATAAAAAAAAAAATTTATAAAAATATAAATAAATAAATAAATAAAAAACAAATTTAATAATAAATTAATTCATTATCAATATATATAATTTTATTTCGTTTGTATATTAAAATTTAGCAGAAGATTTTTTTTCTTTTGTCTTTTTTTTTTCTATATAAACTAATCATACTCTAACAAATAAAAATATATATAATTTAAATAAAAACTTCTGCTTGATTTTAAATCGAGAGATCCTTTTATAAAATAAGTACATTGCAAATGACGTAGTAATATAAAATGACTAGAATGGATTATATTATTAAAATTACTTAGAAATTATTTAAGTAAATTATAAATAAATAAATAAATAAAAAATAGTAAAAGTCTTTGTTGTCTAAAAGAAGAATAAAATATGGCGGAAGAGTGAATTTTTCATTTGTTTAAAAATAAACATTTCTTTGTATAAATACTGGTAAGGAATTTTTTTTTAAGCAAAAAAAAAAAAAAAAAATTCACTATGAATAGGGGGTCTTTGGATATATATAATGGGTTACTAGAATAAATAATAATGAATTTTCAATATCGAAAATGACAAAAAAGGATCAAAACGACTGGGGATCTATGACATTGGTAATGACGCTAAGTGTAGCTGGAGTTGAATAGAGGCTGTGATCGGCTGTTGTTAAAAAATTTCTGTCGTCTGTAGCCATCGAAGAATAGCAAGAATCGTTCAATGACATTTCCTCCGAATCTTCGCTGTTCCACTTGTTGAGAAAAACTTTTCCAGAAGTCGAAAGTGTCGTGTACTGCTCGTTTGAATTTTCATCATCGTCGAGTTGATCCACTCGAGCTGGAGAGGTTGGAGATTGGGGATAATTAGGAGGGAGAAAACTAATGGTAGCGGGTGAAGAAGGTATATATTCTGGAGTTTGAGGATTGAAATCGGATGATGGAGATTTTGGAATGAATTCAGCGGTAGGCGAAGCCGGAATGTAATCGGTATCTGGCGAATTATTAAATTCGACACAATTCGGTGATGGGACATATTCATGGCACGGAGAGTTGGTGTAATCACGATCTTTGGGAATGTTAGCTATCACGGATGAGTTATCTTGGAATGTTATTGGACTAGTTAAAGAAGTAAAATCGTTATTTACGGGAGAGGTTTCAACGTACTCGATAGATTCCTCGGGTTCTACTTTCCAATCGAATTGTTTAATATCATCTTCAATTTTGCTCGTTTCTATGACGCTTGAAACCATTTTGATGCCTGACGTTTGGGAAGTAAATTGTGAAGAAAATTCATTTGATTCGATATTATCTTCGTCCTCCCATTTAACGTGAGGAGAAAGAAGAATATCATTACGCGTCGGTATAGTTTCCTCTTCTTTTTCTTCTTTATCAGTTGGTAAAGTCACGAGAGTTGCCGGAGTTTGAACTATGGTTGTCGGTTTTGTTATGACCGGAGTTAGATGAGTGATTCTTATTATATTAGCAACAGATGGTTTTTCTATTTTATTTGGTGATGATTGAATAACCGATGTTACATTACTTTTTAATGTACTATTTTGCAACTTATTCTTACTAACAACATTTTGTGAAATTTTTATATTATTATTGTTTTTTATTATTTGTGATTCGGGTTCCATTTTATCGTCTTTCCACTTGTCAATCGATCTCCTCCGAGCATTCATAAAAAAATTTACGACAGATGAGGGTTCAAGGTCTAGCTGACGTGCAATCGTCACTTGCATTTGCTTAGACGGCCTTTCCGTTTCTCGAAAAATAGCTTGTAATGTGCGTCTTTGCAAATCAGTAAATACCAGCCTTGGTTTTTTCGGTTTAACCACCTCCGGAATGGTAGACTTTTGAAAACCATCTTCTTTTATTTTTTCTAACGAATCCACGCATGCTAACCGAAGAGTTGTTATTCTCGAAGCTTCCGGCTCTTGAAGCCACTTCCACATGCGTCGAAATGTATCTCTTCCAGATTTTAACTTTGACCAGGGTTTTGGATTTCTTAACAAATCTGATAAAGTTCCCTGCGATCGACATAAAACTTTTTGTGCAAATACCGACTGCGGAATACTGTATCGCTTTAATTCTGCGCTTATTTGTTGAGCTAGCTGCTTTGTATTAATTTCCTCCTATAATTATAAAATTAATTTAATTAATTAATTAATATATAATTATTTAATAAATAATGAATTAATATTAGTAGGGTCTGTGTCATACCACAAATAAAACATGAATTCAAAGCTTTAAGGAAATCATTCGACAAGTTTATGTATACATAAGGAAAATTTGTCTTATTCTAATATATTACTTTGGCAACAGCCATTTTTCTGATATTGTTTGATCAATAGTTTGTAAGAAACATATTTGACTGTTGCAGCCATAATAAACTTCTTAATTATCAAACATTATATAACATTTTCTTAACATGATTATTAAGTAATCAATTTAGTATTACAGTATTGCTTAAAATAAGCTAAATACATTTGAAACAAAACAGTTGCTTAACAAATGGAAAAAGCAACATCAAGAGTTACTGTAGTTTCTTACCTCATTAGCAGCTTGGGAAACATGTTCAACATTTCCATTTGAAAATGCTTCATTTGTCGGATTATCTGAACCTTCACTTTCGCAAATTTCTTCAACATCAAACATATTATTACAGCAATTGCTGCATATTGTGTCTTGTAATTCTTCAGTTGTATCCCCTTCATTTCTAATGTAAACATTTTCCGCCAAACAAAGGCGACATTTTTCAGCCCTCAACTCAACCTCCATAGTATAAGTTAGCCTTTCATAATAAATTTAGAAATGTCCCTATATTAAAATTAAAATTAAAGCATAAATAAGTTTAATAAAATAAGATAAATACTTAAAACAATTCAATCTCACACATTTTTAATGCTTCTTTAATACTAAGTTTTTGTGTTTAATATTTATTATTATTCTTAATTTATAATACAAATAAATTACATCTATCAAAAATACTTTAGCATTACATTATAACAGAAAATTTAAAAAATACTTTTTTTTTAAATTAAAAATTAATGAATTTATTCTTTAATAATAAAGCTTCGAAGAAAATATCATTGTTATAATACGTAAGTTTTATAATATAAAAGAATATTACACGATGTACAGTATATATACTGAAAACATAAAAATTTGTTTAAATGAATCATCAAAGATATAAAAATGCCTCATATTTATGTATCAGAAAGCAATAATATAAGCAAAGTAATTGAAAATAAGTAACTTGCAGTTTATTTTGACAATTAAAATGTATTCATGAATTTAAAGTAATCTGTCAAGGTATAAAAACTAAATACTTTAAAAATATTTTATTAATTATTTACATTTAAACTTCTTATTCGTTTTAAGTTGCGGATAAAAGTAAAGTTTCGATAAAACAAAAGTTAAAATATTGTAAGAAAGTAAATAAGAATAAGAAAAAAATAATACCCCAAATAATTCAGACAATTCCCACAGCATTGTCACAAGCACCGCAGCAAATTCTACTTGGCAGCCATTTCGAAAAATGCAATTATGACTTTTTTTTTTTTTTAAAACCTTATCATTACTCGAATTATATTCTCTTTTTTTTAAAATAATAATAATTATATAAAATTATTTACACAGATAAAAGTATGAAATTTATAAAACTATACATTTGTTATTATTTTTTGTAACGGGATAACTTTATTTAAAAAAAAAAAAAAAAAAAAAAAATATACTTGAAATTTCTGGCTTTCAACCCTGGACTTTTTAAATTCAAGAAGGCGTCAAAGACATTTCTCTTTGTTTACAACATATATATATTTACATCAAAATGGATAATGAAATGAGTTTAGACGTTAAGAATGGCGGTAATGATTTGAAAATTAATTTAAATTATTACAGAGGACTTATTAAAAAATACATTGAACTGGTAAAATTATTTTAAAAAATTTTTTACTATTGCTGTTTATAAATTTTTTTTATAAGGGTAATTTAAAGAAATTTAGGTTAATTATATTTAACACTCAAATTTTTTTTTTTTTTTTTAATTTCTCAGCATAGGTATAATACAGCATTATTTTGGGCTGATAAAGTTCAAAATTTATCAAAAGGGCAACAAAATGATGTATTTTGGCTAGCTCAAGCTTTATATTTGTCTAAACAATATCACAGAGCTGCTCACTTAATTAAAAGTAAAAATTTGCACTTGACAAATGTGCAATGTTGTTATTTGGCTGCATCCAGTCTCAGAGAAGCGAAAGAATTTACAGAAGCCATGGAAATGCTCTGGGAAATTTGCTCTGATTCAGTAGATAATGTTAAAAGCTTATTAAATTCATTTTCAAATAATTCTAATATCACAGAATGGCCCTCGGATATAGTAACTAATGAGACCAATTATTTATATGGAAACTGTGTAAGTAATATAAAATTTTTTTTTTATCATCAGTTAAACCTATATTAAGAAATCCTAAAAATTTAGGTAATAAATTCTGAGATAAACAAAAGGTGTCATTGATTTTCAGTTAGCTGGTTCTATGCATTTTGAGAGGGGAAGAGTATATGAATCATTAGATAATAGAGATTTAGCAACAGACTGTTATAAACAAGCATTAATGGCTGATGTTCATTGTTTTGAAGCTTTTGATGCTCTTATACAACACCAAATGCTGACTGGAAGTGAAGAATTTGATCTTATAAATTCATTACCATTTAGCAAACATTGTCCTTCTGAAGTAGATAGCGAATTTGTTAGGTGGATTTTTGTAAAAATTTACTTATTAAAATTACCTATATAATAATTTTTTTTAACTCTAAAAATTTTTTTTAAAAGGTTATTGTATGAAAACAAGCTAAATAAATATAGATCAATTAACAAAATAGAAGATCTTCACCCTCTTTTACTAAAGTTGGAAGGAAATTTAGATCTCATGGTTTCCGAGGCTGAACAACATTATTACAATTGTAATTTTACTACATGCTGGAAAATCACTCAAGAGTAAATATACAGCAATTAATTTTCTGTAAAATGTTAATGAGATGTGTTAAGTACATTTTGAACATTTTTTTGTTTCAGAGTAATGGCAAAAGATCCTTATCATATGACTTGTTTGCCTATTTACATTAGCTGCCTTGTAGAATTAAAAAATTCAAATGATCTATTTCTTCTAGCACACAAACTTGTCGATATATATCCAGAAAATGCAGTGTCATGGTTTGCAGTGGGATGTTATTATCATGTTATCGGAAATAAAAGTGATCATGCTAGAAGGTTTTTAGGTAAATAAAAAAATAACTTCAAAGAAAAAAATATCATTGAAATATAAATTTAAAATTTTTTAACGTTAAGTTTATTTTAATCTTTAAAGGAAAAGCTACATCACTGGATAAACTATTTGGTCCTGCTTGGCTTGCATATGGACATTCATTCGCAGCCGAAAATGAACATGATCAAGCAATGGCAGCCTATTTTAAAGCTTCTCAGATAATGAAAGGGTGATTTAAACGTTTAAAAAAAATTTATCAGCCAAAATATTTTTATTTTTTCAACATTTTAAAATTTGCATTCGATAATTAATTTTTAGATGTCATTTACCACTATTGTACATTGGTTTGGAAAACGGATTGACAAACAATTCAGTTTTAGCTGAAAAATTTTTTCTTCAAGCTCAAGCAATCGCCCCTCATGATCCTTTTGTTTCTCACGAAATGGGTGTAATTGCATTTCAAAGTGGGCAGTAAGTAATTTCGACTAAGAAAACTTATATTATAAATATAGTTAGAACAATACTTAGTTAGAAGCTAAAACTCAGTTAAATCGAGTATTTAGTGTAATAGCAAATATTATCTAACTCGATTAAAATCAAAATATCAGTATACTTCAAATAATTTTAAAATTTTAATTTCAGTTATCAAGTTGCAAAAAAACATTTTGAGATAACATACGAAAGAGTAAAACATAATGAAAAAACAATGATACAAAGTAAATGGGAACCCTTGTTAAATAATCTCGGGCACGTTTATAGAAAATTGCAACAATATGAAAAAGCTATCGAGTATCATATGCAGGTAAGCTAATTTTATCAGGTTTTTTTTTTTTTTTTATACTTTGAAACACTTAAAATATAATTTCATTTTAGGCTATGATATTATCACCCAACAATGCTTCAACATATTCAGCTATTGGTTATTGCCAAGTTTTAATGGGGCAGTGTAAAAAAGCAGCAGAACTATTTCACAAAGCATTGGCTTTGAAAAGAGATGACACTTTTAGTACAAATATGCTAAATTATGTTTTAGAACTTTTAGTAGATGAATATCAAGAACCAGTTAAGCCAGATGTAGAATTTTCTCATCTTAAACAACCATTTTTCGGTAAAAAAAAAAAAAAAATTTTTTTAAAGTTTACTATCTAAAGTTTTGATGAATTTATTTACGTATACGTTATTGTTACTTAATTTTAGGTAAAGAAATATTTTCTAACGATGTAAATGGAAAAAAATTAAAATCAAATGCTTTACCTTTAATGTCCATGGTTGACGTCACTTGTGATGATACATTTAAAACGCCGAATGCTAGTGAAGATCCCAACAGTAGTAGTAAACTCAGTTTTGAAGTAGAAATGGCGGATTCTAATTCTATTTCACTAGACGGGAGTTCTTTAAAAATATAATTTAATTTAGTTTATTTTATGTTTTAAAAAATTTATTATTATTAAAGATTGTTTTGTACATTTAAAATAAAAACACTTGAATTTTTTCTCACATTTTTTTAAGTTGGTGATATTAGGCGGGAAAGTTAAGTTGGTAATATTAGGCGGGAAAGTTAAGTTGGTAATATTAAGCGGTTAAGTTAAGTTGGTACAACAAGAATATTAATCTTGTCAAGACGATGAGATGATTTTGATAAGTTTTCGTTTTTAAAAGTTTTAAAAAAATTTTGAGAAAATTTATTTTTTGAAATATAAATATTTTTGTAAACATGACCCACGTTTTTATTGGTGGAATTGAAGGGTAAGTTTTTTTTTTTATTATTATTTAATTATGCAAGTTTGTTCGGTGATATTAAAAAGCATTTGACATTTCTGTTAACTTTATAATAAATATATTTATTTTAAAATAAGTTACAAATTACATATAATACATATTGCGTAAATTTAAATTTATTTATTTATTTCGTCATTAAATTTAATTGATTGCTAAATTTTTAACTTTCATATGAATGAAATTCATTTGTTTTTCTTATAAATTTTTTTTTGATTATACTTAGTTGTTGGAATAAATATTTGTGGTTTTGTATTGGTCAACTATCATTATTATTTCTAAATAATGTATAAGGTTTAAAGAATTATTCAAAGAAAACAGTTATTGTGCCATTTTTAAAATTTACATTTTTTATTTGCTATTGAAAAATTAAAAGTTTTAAAATTTTTTAAAATATTAAAAAAAAAAAAAAAAAAAGATGAAGCTAATTTACAAATAATGAATTTCTTTAATATTTCTTGTAATCCTATTGAAATTATTACAATTTTAAATTGAATATCTTTAAAAAAATTATTATTAGTCTACATGTACTCTATGTATTTTACTGAGCACAAACATACTTCTACACTAAATTCGAAAAATCTTTTTGTACCCTAACTCGAAAATAACAATATGTTAGAAATCAATAGAGCAGTATCAAAAATTCTTCAATTATTGTCGAACATAGTTATGTAATGTTTGACAAAAATTATCTAATAATATTTACTATTCACTAATTAAATTAATTTAAGACCTATTTGTAAACTTTCTTTTCTTCTACTATTTACAGTTAAAGATTTAAATAAAAATTTATATTTATGAAATACAAAAGAAAAACTAAATTAACAGCTTCTAACTTTTAATTATTAATCTATAAGTTTATAATTAAACTTTCTAAAAAATTGTCGTGTAATATTCTATTATTTAATATAAAAAAATAATTTAAATTTTTTATAATTGGTTTTAGGGGAGGTACTCGATCCAAAATTGTTTTGTACAATGGAAAAGGAGAAAAAAAAGTCGAACTTGATGGACCTGCTATGAATCATTGGGTATGAGTCTGTGCTGTTTTAACAAATTAAATTTTTTACTAATTGATGGCTGAAATTAAATTTTGTAAATATATATTTTTTCCATTATTATTAATTATTATTAATTTTTTTTTTTTTTTTTGCATTTAAAACATATCCAAACCTTCTTGTATTTTTAATATTTGATTACAGATTCTTGGCATGAGGGAATGTCAAAACAACATAGCAGACTTGGTGGATCAGGCTAAAGAGCATGTCGGAATTGATTCGGACACTCCCCTTTTAGCTTTGGTAAGAAAAAAAAATATTTTATTTTAAACTCATATTTAGTAAGATATTTAAGAATATCCTTTTTTTTAATTGAAATGTAAAACTGTTGAGTTTTCCTAGTTCTTTAATATTATTAAATAATTGATGATGATGATGATTATTATCATTATCATTATTATAACTTCTTGTCCTAAAAACGTTTTATCGAAATGTTTTTTTTAACTGTTAATATTTTTATTGACAAATGCTGTAAGATAACAAAAATTTTTTTTTTAATGTTATGAAATGTAATTTGCTAAGGAAAACTCTTCAAAGGTGATAAGCATTTGAAAACAAATTGAGAAAATTTAAATATAAGGTTATATTTAGTATATTTATTTCCCAATAATTAAATATTATATATACTTTTATTATATGAAAAAAAAAAGTAGTTTTTCTGATTAATTATATCTTTTAATGAAAATGTTAGTTTTAAAAAAAATTTAATATTTAAGTATTAAATTGTTAATAAGATGTTAAATAATGATTTTTTTTTTATTAGGGATTAACATTAAGTGGCTGTGAAGAAGATGAAACGAATGAAATATTTAAAATTAACCTTTTTAAAGAATATCCTTGTATGGCAAAAAATTATTTCATTGGGAGCGATACATTAGGAGCTTTGGCAGTTGCACATGAAGATGGTGGTCTTGTCTTAATTGCAGGAACTGGTTCTAATGCTTTACTCATCAATCCAAATGGGACAAAAAAAAGTTGTGGTGGTTGGGGATATTTTATGAGTGACGAAGGCTCTGGTAAGTAGTTATCTTTTTGTTTTTTAATTATTACATTTCTTACTAGACTAAGTCAATTTATTAGATTCTGCTTTTTTTTTTTTTTTTTTTTTTTTTTTTTGGAAATTTAGCATTTTGGATAGCTCATACTGCTTTGAAATTATATTTTGATGAAAAAGATAATTTGAAATCACCTCCTTATTGTACAGATTATGTTTGGGATTGTATTCGAGAGCATTTTGGTGTTAAAACCAGGTAATATTCATCAAATTATTTATATTTAACTGTACTTTTTCTTTTATATAATTGTTTCTTTTTTTTTTTTTTTTAAAGGCATGGCATGATACAACATTGTTATACAAAATTTGACAAATCACATTTTGCAGCTGTAACTATGAAATTTGTT